GGTCAGCAAACCCCGGCCTTCCTCTCTTGCAGGGAGCTGCCTGCTTCTGCAGGGTCCTTGCGTGGACCTAGCTCTGGGAGCTGCCTCACTCAGAGGGCCAAGTGTACTTGGCATAGCTCTCTGTCCCGCCACCTCTAATATGTGGAGTAGTCATTATGTCGCTAACTCAAGCCTACAGAGAAGTTAATACTTCATCATCCGCAGTTTGCAAGAGAAGTTAATAAGAAATGGATGCATTGTGATTTTGTGGCATATGCAGGAAATGACACCTGGGTAAATCATGAAAAGTACATGGGAAGGGTCAGTGTTCTTCAGTATACTTTGCTATTATTTCCACCTTGTTCTTATTTCCTGTTACTGATCTAAGTAACATTGTTTTCATTATATTATGCTTCCTATACTTGTTATGATCAAAGAAATGCATGATTTTGGGAATATGTTTTTTTGCAATTACGATGGATGATTTTACCTGCCAAGTTCCTGATAGAGATGTATAAGAGGCTGTCTGAAATAAAGATCAATGCTGCTGTTCCACGAGAACTCAGCCCTCTCAACCACTTGTATAGAGTTTCTTTGATCCTCACCTTCCCTCTTGACCCTTTCGACTGACGGCTGATCTGGCATTCTCTAAATAGGGGGGCTGGGTCTGTGTCTGTGGCTGAGTCTGAGACTGTGGGTCTGAGCTTCGGTTTCCGTTGCCCTTCAGAATATGCCACCCCTGACCTGGGAGGCAGAGGCTGTGTCATTTACCCTGTGCCAACATCGTATGGGGTGTTCAGAGAAGTGAGCTCTGGTGTTGACCTTAGGTCATTATTCGTTTGCGGATCACACCCAGCGGTGCTCAGGGTTTAACTCTTGACTACACTGAGGAATCACTCCTAGTGGGCTCAGGGAACCATATAGGATGCTGGGAATTGAACCCGAGTTGACCCCAAGCAAGACAAGCACCCTATCTGCTGTACTGTCATTTAGGCCCCATTTAAAGTTAGTGTATCTCTGGGATTTATGAGCAACAGGCTGTTTTGACTGTTGCTGGCTTAAGTGGAAGAAACAGAATAGCACGGTGACATCATTCATGGGTAAGGAAGAAAGGAAGGTGCCAGGTAAGGCCTTTCCTACACAGAATATCCCTGGGAACGGGTGGCTGGTTCTTTTTTGGGCTTCAGGTATAGTCTCAGAAATGAGATTGTTATGTGGAGGAATATGTATGTTTAAGTAGACATGACTATTACCCCACGCCCCTCAAAAATAATACGTCCTCCCCACCAAAAAAGGAAGCAGCACTTGTCATGTTTATCAGCAACAGAAGATGTGAGAAAGGAAAAATCTTCGTTGCAGACAGGCAAGCCAAGTACTATTGGGGTGTGGAGGTGGGATTGCTATTTTATATTTAAGTAAAGTGCATCTCCCTCCACTCAACAATGTCATTTTTTTATTAAAAATTTTTTTAATAGTGAGACATCATGAGGTACAGTTGCAGACTTACACATTTTTGTGCTCCAACAATGCCATTTTTAAATTTTCATTTAATTTTTTGGTTTTTGGGTCACACCCATAGAGGGACCTGCTACTGCACTCACGAATTATTCCTGGTGGCACTCGGGGGACCAGATGGGATGGGACTATATCCTGAAGTCAAAGAACCACCAGTGGGGCTGCAGTGATAGCACAGCGGGTAGGGCGTTTGCCTTGCATGTGGCCGACCCGGGTTCGATCCCCGGGATCCCATATAGTCCCCCAAGCACCGCCAGGAGTAATTCCTGAGTGCAGAGCCAGGAGTGACCCTGAGCATTTGCTGGGTGTGACCCAAAAAGCCAAAAAAAAAAAAAAACAAAAATGAACCACCAGTACCTAGAGACAAAGCTGTCTGCTGTAGCATTTGTGTTTGGGCCACACCAGGATGTGCTCAGGGCTCACTCCTGTGCCAGGGATCAAACCCGGGTTAGCTGGTACAAGTGCCTTACCCATAGTGATCTCTCTGGTCCTTGCTGCATTTTCTGTTTCTCTGCCATTTTGGGGGGTCACACCCAGCATAGCTCAGCAGGCTACACCCAATGCAGTACTCAGGGATTGCCCTTATCTGAGCTTGGGGGACCCTGTGTTGCTGGGGGTGGAACCTGGGGCTCCCCCCGAGCAATCTCCCAGACTGCTGTATCATTTGTCATAGTAGAAAGCCACACGTCCATCAGCAGTGGAGTGACTGAAGGTATCATCTGGCCGTAATGAATCGTGATGACTGTTCTGCAGCCATCTAAAGGAATGAATTAGGAGCTGGAGGTGGATAGGCCACTAAAGCACCTACGTTACTGGTGTGAGGCTGTAAATTAGATCTCATCTACCGACATGCACCGAGAGCCCTTCTGGCATATCACAAGTGATTTCTGTGTATAAGGACCACGGCCAAGTGTGTGTGTGACCCCAGCACCAGGCTACCAGCTCTTCCTCTTATGGACATAAATTCTCTTTAATTTTGCTCTTTCCCCTTAAGCTCCTATCAAATTGCCCATCCCATAGTAACAAATTTCTATTCTGGTTTTGCCAGAAAATGGAAGATGTGGACTCTATATTATTACTAAAATATACATTTATGCTTTTTCTATATTCTATCCTCTAGCCTCAAATAAACCAGCAGAACATCGCTTCTGCCTTATTTCATTAAGGCAGCCACAGAACTTGCCCAGGTTCAAGGGGACAGAAGAATAAAATCTGGATCTTAATGGACCACATTGCACAAGATCATATGTGGTGGGAGATTTTAGTTACAATAGCCATGTACAGAACTAGAAGAATGACAAATTGTTTAAGTTACTAAATTTTGGGGCTACTTGTTATGGAACAGTAACTATAAAAGCTACATGGATCAGTTACCCATTTCTCCAAACACTGCATAAAAAACATCCCAAAATCTGGACTACAGTTACAAGCATCACTGCTCACAAATCTGCAAGGCAGCTGGCTATGTTCCGCTCTGTGGAGGCTTGACTGCGGTGCCAGTGTCTGTGGTCTGCTGGTAGGTTGCATTGGGACTCAGAATGGAATAGCCTAGTTCTATGTCTTTACCAGATTAGTTGGTACAGGAGAGGTGACTGGGCGATGTATCTCACTGTGCAACAAGTTAGGTTGAACTGGACTTGTCATTATGGTAGCTGGGTAGGGTTTTAGAAAAGCAAGTGGAAGTGTTCAGAACCTTTGCAAGACTCTGAGACAGCCGAGTATGATTTTCTAGTCATCTACTGGCTAACATCAAGTCTAGTTCTCTAGACTTAGGAGACGGGTAAACAAACTCAGCTTTGTTTTTATTTCATTTAAGGCACACCTGGGCTAGAGCAATAGCACAGCGGGTAGGGCATTTGCCTTGCACGTGGCCAACCCGGGTTTGATTCCTCTGTCCTTCTTGGAGAGTCCAGCAAGCTTCCAAGAGTATCCCGCCTGCACAGCAGAACCTGGCAAGCTCCCCGTGGCATATTCGATGCCAAAAACAGTAACAAGTCTCACAATGGAGATATTACTGGTGCCCGCTTGAGCAAATCTATGAACAATGGGAGGATAGTGCTACAGTGCTACAGGGCACACCCAATGGTGCTCAGGGATCACTCCTGGCAAGGCTCAGGAGACCATATGGGGAGCCGGAGATTGAACCTGTATTGGCTACTTACAAGGGAAGCACCCTACCTGCTGTATTCTCTCTCTGTGCCCCCCGCCCCTTTTAGGGGGCTATGCAGGACACATTCCACTGTGTTTGGGTCTTACTCCTGGTGTGCTCAGGGATCACAAGCCCTGGCGGGGCTCAAGGGACCATATGCAGCGCTGGGGATCAAAACTGGGTTGTCTGTGTGCAAGGCAAGTGCCTTACCGCTGTTACCGCTGTACTCTCTCGGGCCCGTCCACATTTTCTTTAAGTGCAGAGCCAGACCTGGTGGCACTAAAGAAATCAGGTGGTGTCAGATACTGAACCTGGGGCTCCCCCATGCGAGTATGTGCTCCAACCTTTTGAGTAATCTCCCTGACCCCCAGATTCAACCTCTGGATGGAAGAGATGATAAAGTCACATTGTACAAGTCACGATTATAAGTTAGAGTACAAACTGGGGGCACAGTGTAATAAATCTACCCCCAAACAAGAATCTTACTGCTTATTGATATATAAAACTTGGATATTTTTTCCATTCATTCAGCTCTCACTGACCTCTGACGTTCATTTCCTATTATTCCTATTTCATTTGAAGCAATGTAAGAGTACTTTTTCATCATTAAAAGTTATTTTATGGGGCTGGAGCAATAGCACAGCGGGTAGGGCGTTTGCCTTGCACGCGGTCAACCCGGGTTCGATTCCCAGCATCCCGTATGGTCCCCTGAGAACCACCAGGGGTAATTCCTGAGTGCAGAGCCAGGAGTAACCCCTGTGCATTGCCAGGTGTGACCCAAAAAGCAAAAAAAAAAAAAAAGTTATTTTATTTTAGGGATTCAATTAAACACCTAACACCTTAAGAAAGAAAGAAAAAAAAAACCAGAACATATACAAATGAATTCCTCTGTGTTCAGAGTGAAGCAACTCAAAATTAGAGTAAGTACATTTGTGAAATATAAAATAACAATATGAGACTAACACCCAAGGACAGTAGAGACAAAGGCCAGGAAGATTGCTCCACAGTTGGAAGCCTGCCTCATGAGCTGAGGGAGAAGACAGCTGGGATAGAAAAGGGATCACAAAGTCAATGACGGCTGGAGGGATCGTTCAGGATGGGAGATGTGTGCTGAAAGTGATAAAAGAACCAAACATGATGGCCTCTCAGTATCTTTATTGCAAACCATGAGAGAGAGTAAGAGGGGGAGGGGTGGGATGGGAGGTGGGCGGGGAGGGATACTGGGGTCATTGGTGGTAGAAAATGTGCATTGGTGGGGGATGGGTGTTTTATCATTGTATGACTGAAACTCAAACATGAAAGCTTTGTAACTGTAGCTCACAGTGATTCAATAAAAAAAGAGAATCAACAATTCAGTGGTAAACAAGTATACTTTAATAATAATTTTGGTAAAAGCATCTTTGCACAGATATGCAGGTATAAAACACACGAGATCCTTCTGTTTCTCAAGCACTTCTTAAAACAAATGTGACTTAAATATTTAAAAGTTTAAAAAAACCAAGACACCAATAGGTGTTTGTAAAGTTAAACTTGAGACAAATACATTTAATGTCCTAACACTGAAAACATCTTAAAACGTGACTTATTACTCTTACTAGGTTTGGATTTTAAGATTTACCTCAGCGAAGATACAAGTAAAAATATACTTATATAGCTAATCCATCATTATTTGAACATTACTTAGAAATTGGTCTTAAAATCACATTATTTTGAAAAACATTTACAAAATGCTCCAGTATTATTCTTATTGTCAACATCTCTTCTTGAGAAAGAAATGAGTATTAAAAAGTCTGTCCAAGTATTTCTGGGATGAGAAACAGACACTATGCTCACAAATTCAACCTATGAGAGTGTGCTAAAAGAGATCAACATCAAGAGGTAACATGAAGTTACAGAAGCCAACTTTAGGAGATCACTCATTGCAGTGTACTTCCCTCTTTCCTTAGGTTTCACCAGTATAGTTCTAGAGAGATGCATGTCCTAATTTCCGCATATTTAACAGTGATCAGTTTCCTTATAGGTATAAAATAGGCTTACTTCTTTGACAACATTAGTCTTAACTGCAAGGAAAAGGTTATTACAAGAACCCAATTCTAGGTGACTCAACCGTATTTTATCATCACAAGTAGCTTGCCAGTGTTTCCTAAGGAATATCATTAGTATTGTGGTTAATTCCAGATACTACAAAACACTAAGCATTCCTGGGCCACTCCCTGAAGCTAGCAGTTTCCAAAGTCACTGGGATAACCTAAGAATATACACATACACTTCCAACTGCCCCTTGATGAGAACCAATGAGCGCAATGATCCAAGATTAATATCTATTAACTTCTTGACTTCCACAGAAAGTAACTGCTTCATTACCTCCAGTAAACAATGACTGAAGAGGAATATTTGTTTAAAAATTTTGTAATTACATATTACTTTGAAAAGACAGGCAGATTTCTCCCAGTGGTAATCTGAAAAGAATAAATGCACAAAGAACAGTACTTATTTATCCCAAATGCACACATACAATAACAGGAAAAATGACTTTATGACCAACAGGCATAGTTTACCCACTTATCTTTAGTATAAAAAAATACGTTCAGTTATTACAGTAAGATTAAAAAGCAAGTATATCTTCTTGATAAATTCCTTCACACTGATGTTCCTGGAAATTGTTGCTGTCTCTGCTCCAAAACTTGCTGATTTAACAGTTGTTGCTGTTTCTGTAAAAACTGCACCACTTCAGGACTTCTTAATAATGACTTAAATGGAAGAAAAATATATTTATTAACAGCATTAAGGTGATGTAACAGGTCAGACTGTACCTGTGCAATGAAACTGCTATATATTTACAGATACACTATGCATGCAAAACGAAACATGCTTGAAATCAACTCATGTTGGCATCTGATGTGCCTTTATTAAACTTCAACTAATCAGAATAAAATATGATGTAAAACATGATGTAAAATACACCAAAATACTTAATCCTAACAATAATAATGGAGGAAGCCTGATCTTACCGGTGACTTTCCATACAAAGAAAATGAATTTTATTTACATGCCATGATATCATATATGCTCTTTGTGAAACATGAACAAACAAACAGCAAAGAATAACAGTGATCTCGGAATCAAAGGAAAAATGAAAGGGGGCCATCAGTACAAACAGCATTCAAGTGTGAGTTTGGAAGTATATCAAACATGAAGACTAGGACCAGAATTCACACTTCATTTTGTTTTGGGGGTCACAGCTCCAGTGTGCTCAAAGGGCCACGTGCAGTGTGGGGATTCAAACCTGGGCCTCCTGCATGCAAGGCAGGAGCCCACTGACCTCTTTTGCCCCGAAACTCAAATTTCTGGCATTCTTTCAGAAGTGAAAAATTGTGTGTTGGCATATACACCATGTTAGCAGGTTGCCAGATTTTCAGAAAACAGCTGCTCTAAAACCATCATTTTAAACTTAGTGGTAACTGTATAATGACTCTAAGACTATGGATACTGTTTTTATTAATAGTTATAAACTGACGAGAAAACAACCTTGGCTCAACAAATTACAAAGAGTCAACTTAATAGAGTACAAAAAGTTATGCAAAACGAAACATGTTTGAAATTAAATAATTACTTAACATTATAACACAGTTTATTTGTTGTGTATCTAGTAGTTTCGCTTGAAACTTCTCTGTGAAAACTGCCCAACTTTCCTTGAGAGTGTACAATAACTGCCTAGCTCTATCAAAGACCCAGAATTCAGTACAAGGAAATGTTTCAAAAGCACATCCTATGTGGTAGAGCACATCAGCGGTAGAGCACATCCCTTGTGTACATGCGGCTGTGGGTTGATCTCTGGATGGAGCGACAGATACACAGACGCATTTTCTCTCCCCTCCACCAAGACCGCTACCCCCTTATCTTGCTTAGCTACTCAAGTTTTAGTCAAGACAATTCAAAGTGCTCCTTTCCATATAGTCCGAGGAGGGCATTTTGAGTTTAGTTGTGTTGGGAGAGGCATAATTCAATTCTGATAACCACAAACATCTAAACAGTGCCACATATAACAACTCCGGTTAAGAGGTACACAATGACTTTACTGATACTCACCAGTCTTTTCTGATTTAACACTTGTTCTAAAAGGGTTGGTCTTGCAGGTCTATCTCCAAAAGATCCCGATCTTTGTTTAACAATGGAGAGTATATTATCTGTACTTTCCTGAAATGTAAGATAATCTTTCAGTGAGATGACCAGATCTTTGCTTCTCTTCGCTCTTGCTTAGTTCCCATGGGACTTGACAGTCAAAAGCAAGGAGCTGGAGAGTAGTACAGCAGGTAGGGTGCTTGCCATGCAAGCATCTGACCTGGGCTTCATCCCCAGCATCCACTATGGTCCCCCAAGCCTGTCAGGGATAATTCCTGAGTGTAGAGCCAGGAGCAACATCTGGGCACTTTGGGGTACAGCCCAAAAAACTAAGAAAAAAAAACCACCCTGGAACAATGAGAGGCAAGTTGCCGACAGTTAATTTTCTATCAACATCCTCACCCTACCGGGTCTTAAAAATCCTGAAACACCAAGTGGGTGGGTAGGAGTGGGGAACTAAGAGCTCTGCGAGGGTTATTTTCACTATTGCCCATAATGGCAAATGGAAATCGAAATTCTTTTCATAAAAAGCTAATCAGGTAAAAAACAAATTGAGCTTGCCTTTGGATAGGATATATAAACTCATGTGCGACTTATATGTTGCTAAGACTTTCTTGATAATTTTCCTTCAATTAACCAGCAATAAGCCTGGAGGACAGCAAAAGGTTGCCTAAAAGAACAACTGAAAGGGGCTGGAGAGATAGTAAAGTGGGCAGGTGCTTGTCTTGCTGGCAGCCCATAATGTCCCCTGAAGCACAGCCAGGAGTGATCCCTGAGTACAAAGCCAGGAGTAAGTCCTGAACACTGCTGGTTCTGGGTTGTGGCCCAAAAACTGAATAAGAAAAAGCAATCAATAAAAAAACTTTAAAAAAATTTTTAAAAAATTTTATTGAATCACCATGAGATAATAAAAAAACTTTCAACATTTAAAATGTACTAAGAAAAAAACTGGCAAACTGGACTAGAAAAGATTGCAAAGTATGGGGTATAAATAATCTGCAACTAGTAGAGACAAAACGGCTAAGTCCTCAAATGCCCAACTTGTGAGACTCAGTGGTGGAACACGTATGAAGCCTGAATATTGATGACTGGTTACTAAAATCAGCAGCACAAATGTGTCTTTCCAGTTACCTGGTAGGACACTTATATTTTTCTGGCCTAAGAAAATGTTGTAGTTAACAGAAACATTTTGAATCACACAAAACCATGATCCCGGCAAGCTACCGAGAGTATTTGATATGCCAAACACAGTAACAACAAAGTCTCCAATGGAGACGTTACTGGGCCCGCTCGAGCAAATCGACGATCAACGGGAGGGCCTTTACCTTTTACCTTACAAAACCATGATATAATATTAACCACAGTAGAGAGTTCTGACTAAGCAAATGTATTACCAGGCAGCAGAGCTCTTTTCCCTCCACACAGGTTATTCGTGAAGCTATCTGGTCTTCCTCCACTGGTCTCTGAGTTGCCTAACAGAACATCCCTTTAATCTTTTCATTATGAGAAGTCTACCAATGGGTTTGAAAACACTTTCAACTCTGAAACACTTTAATCCTCAAAAACTAAAAAAAAAAAAAAAAAAAAAAAAAAAAAAAAGTTGTAAAAAGAGGGTTCTAACAACAACAACTACAAAAAATCTCTTCAGCCTTCTCTTTTTATAGTTAGCTGATTCATGGTACTTTGTTTCATGTTTACGTGTACAAAATGTGAAATACCGTGAATCTTTATTCTCACCGCGCCATGGCATTATGAAGACCCAGATTAGTAACACAGGGTGGAAACTGCCTTGAATTATCTAATCCAAACTTCTGCAAATGTTGGAACTTCCTTTACAAAAGTTCTCAGTGCTTTTTTTCTGAGGAATGTTTCAGCTTTTCAGGCATTCCACTGCTTTTGAACAGCTCTACCATTATTGCAGCTTTAACTTAGGTTCAGCTGTATTACATATTCCTTGTAATTTTCACCTAAGAAGTCCTGATTGGTTCAGAACCATGCAAAATAAATCTACTTCTTTCAAACTAGAACCTCTTGGATATTAAATGATAATGACTCCCATCCCTCAGGATAATAGGGGCAACTTTTAGAGACTACATTTACATTATATCTACATTACATTTATATCTATTCCTAAGTAACCTTGATGTGTAAGAAATACCTTCAATACCCCAATTTCTAATCTGTTGACACCAAGCAGAGACATCAAAAGTCATTAACTTCACTCCCACAGTCCTACTGTTACTGTTACTCCCCAACTAGAAACTTTCACTGCGAAACTCCAAACCCAAATCCCACCGCTTGGTATTCAGTAGCATACAAAATTTGGCTTCAAACTCTCTAGATTCATCTTTCATGGATGTTTCCACCAATAGTCCATTTTCACCGACTGCCTTCCTCGGGGTCTTTCATAGCCCCAGTTTTCCTTTGCTACAACCTACAACAGGCTCTTCTCTCTGCTCACTTACCAAAATCCCAGGGGAAGCAGTATAGTGTGGAGGGAAGATTGTTTGGGATGGCTGCCTCAATGCCTCAATTTTCACGTAAGACATGAACTGATCTCACTGCTTTGGAGAGCCCGCTGACAGCTTAGTACAGTGCCTAACACAGGAGCAACCTGGCTGATGAAGAACTAACTCTTAAGTCATCCTCTTCGGCTTACAATCAGTTTGGCTTTTTCTCAGCAGTGCCATTCCAGGGCATCTCGTACTGCAAGGATCTATCCTCTCCAGCACTAAACCGACATTATATAACTGGCTTTTTATATCCTGACTAGGAATATTATTTTCTTTACCCTCAGTTCAACAAAATACTTAGAGTTCTTAAAACTTCAGTACTAGTAAAGTGCTCCAAAATACGATATACCACTATAGCGGGTCATTCCTTATAGGAGTCGTTTTCTTCTCTAAAAAAAGCACCCCGATTATTTTAGAACATGAATACTAGTAAGATTCATTGTGAGAGGTGGAGAGGCACTAATTCAGTATCTATTTGTCATTTATACATATTTTTCCTCGAACTGTAGCTGTGACTGTGGAGTTTTAAAAAGTTAACGATAAGAAATATATCCTGAAGTTACTACCCCTCTGTAAACAAATACGAAGTGAATGGGTAGATGCCACTAAAATATACAAAGGACAAACAAACCAACTTTCTTAGTTTTCATTCTGTAGTGAGATGCTATAATTTCTTACAGTTCAAGAATTGGTAAAATATGCCCCCCCCTTTTTATAAGGGGGTGGTAGTGGTGGCCACACGGTGCGGTGCTCAGGACTCACTCCTGATTCTGTGCTCAGTATCTCTCCTGTATGAGTTGGGGGATCGTATGGGGTTGTCAGGAATCAAACCGGGTTTGGCGGTATGCAAAAAAAAAAAATCCTACCCATCCTACCCACTCTATTATCATTCTGGCCCCTAAAATATGCAATTTTGCAGGAATACAGAAGAGGTTCTAAATCTAAGATCCCCGAACCCCAAAAGTAAGTGAACAAAATTTAAAAAATAAAGAATACACTAAAGAACATCTTATCAGTTAAAAAAATTATTTTCAGGATCACACCTTTTTTTTTGCTGCTTTGTTTTTGGGTCACATCCTGCAGTGCTCAGGGCTTACTCCTGCCTCTGTGCTCTGGGGTCACTTCTGGGGGTGCTTGAGAGACCCTATGTGGTGCTATGGATTCGGGAATCCAACCCAGGTTAGCTGTGTGCAAACCAAGCACCTTGATCCCTGTACTATTTCTTTGGCCTTTTAAACAAACTCCTCCAAATATATATAACTTTACATGACTAGATTTGACTGTTGTCTATGTTTCTTTTGGGGGGCAGCCGGCACAGCAGAGGGTGCTCAGGGTCTACCCTGGCTCTGTGCTCACGTGACTCCTAGCAGTGTTCAGGGACCATATCTGGTGCCGGGGACTCAAAACACCATGGTCACAGACACTTGGATCCCTTTTAACAGCCATGTATACTTTCCCTCTGTGTTGGAGGATCACACCATTTATTAAAAGGAGAAAAACACGAGGTGAAATATCTGCCTCCAAGTATAAAACTACTCCACGATCTATTGAATAGACTGATTCTCAACATGGAATTATTTCACAAATTCCCAACATGAAGAAAACAACCATTTAACAGGCGAAGAAAGACGATTCAAGGTCACACAGTCAGCAACTGGTAAGGTGGGGGAATTGCTGTCCTAAATCCAACTTGGCTTTTGGGCCACACCCACTGGTATGGGTTGGGGGATCCCAATGGGGTGCTGGGGATCGAACCCAGGTTGGCAGCATTGCAAGGCATGCATCTACCCGCTGTACTCTCTGGCGCCCTGGAGTACAGAATTAACCTTCAGTTGTGCTTGAGTGAAGCAACCCCCGTATCTTGAGACTTACCCTCCATTATTAATAATTTTTTTTCTTCAGGATACTATGAAATGGGGTACTAGGAACAGGGTTGTAGGCATGGAGTATAGAGGAAAAGAGTCTAACAAGATATTAAGTGGGAGTACTGAGAAAAAGCACTGAAAATATAGTTCTGAGAACTAGAATATTAAGAACCAGGGGCTGGAGTGATAGTACAGTGGTAGGCCGCTTCCAGGTGGTGCCAAGGATTTGATCCCCAGCATCCCATATGGTCCCTGAGCACCACCAGGAGTGATTCCGGGTGCAGAACCAGGAATAACCCCTGAGCAGTACGGAGGAGGCACCTGCCTTGCACACGGTGGACCCTAGTTTGATCCCCGGCATCACATCCTGGTCCCTCGAGGACTGACTGGCATGATCCTTGCTGTAAGACCTGGGCACCCCTAACTGTGACGCCGAAACAAGTGAACAGGTACTAAGCCAGGAACTAGAACAGAACACTGAGAACAGAGCACTAAGTACTCGGAGCAGAGGAAGCAGAACAGGGTGCAGAGACTAGGGATGCAGAACACAGCCACAGAAGAGCGCAGTGGCCAGGGAAGCGATCACCGTCCTCCGAGCACGCGATTCACCGAAGTTCCTACGGGTCTGCGCCCGTCTCTTGAGTGGCGAATCACACCCCTCGCCCGGTCCTTCCGTGTCCCATCGCCTGCACACACCGAATGGCCTCATCCATCCCAAGGAGGATCTGCACGAACTTTTCACAACTCGGGCAAGCCCTTCCTAACTCTCGGCTTCACGCCCGCCGGCCCTCCGAGCAGGCGGGCAGGCCTGGGCATGCTGGAATGGGCCCCCGGCGGAAGCGCGGGTCCTCCTCGCCCCCCTCCCCGGCCACGGCCCCCCTACCTCCAGCTTGACGCTGCCCGAGCCGCTGGCCGGGGCGCTCCCGCCGCCGTTCTGGGCCTGGTCGCTCTTCTTCTTCTTGTACTTGTCCTTGTACATCTTGTTGCGGTGCTTCTTGCACATCCACGGCTTGCGCTGCTTGGCCACCTGGCTGGTGGTCTCGCGGCAGCCCTCGTAGGTGCACGTCTTGCTCACGCAGCCCCCGCCGCCGCCGCCCCGCGCCGGGGCTGCCCCGCCGCCGCCGCCGCCCTCGCCCCCCGAGTGGGTCTCGTCGTCCTCCAGCTCCTCCAGACTCGCCGCGCTCTCGCCACCCCCGGGGGGGTCCGACGTGTCCAGCAGGTCCGCGTCGTCCTCCCCCGTCTCCTCCTCGCCGTCCCCCGCCGCTTCGCACGGGTGGCCCCCGGGCTGGCCCCGGCCGCCGCTGCCCCCCAGCGCGGCCGCCGCAGCCTCGTCCTGGCCCGCGCACGGCCGCATCACCAGCAGGGCGAACCGCGAGTCCGGGGCCGGGGCCGGGGCCGGGGCCGGGGCCGGGGCCGGGGCGGGCGCGGGGGCGCCGGGGCGGGGCGCGCCACCGCCGGCCGCCGGCCCCGCGGCCTCGGCCGCTCCCGGCGCCTCCGTGCTGCCGAGCGCGCGCGCGGGGCCCCCGGCGGCCCGCGCCTGCCCGCCCACCTGCCGGCCCGCTCAGCCCTGCGCGCCCCGGCGAGAGGAAACGGAGGCGGCGGCGACGGCGGCCGGCGCAGGCGCTTCCGCCGACGCCTGCGCGCCCCGAGCCGGGCCGGGCGCTCGGGCGCGGGGCGGGGGCGGGCGGCCGCGCGCCGGGGACTGCGCAGGTGCCGGGCGGGGCGGGGCGCGGGCGTTTCGCGGCGCCGGCCTCCGGCCTCCCGTTTGTTCCGGCCCTGAAACAAATGACGTTCCCCACCCGCAGCCCCGCGCCCCTGGAAACGCACCGGACTTTTCACTTCTAAGGTCGATCTGAAACAGCCGGTCTTGTGGACGATGAACGTGGGGGTAGAGGAGCCTTGGACCGACGTTAGGGAAAACAGGCGTCGGTCTACAGCTGCTTGGAACCGCTGCTCTGCTGAAACTGGGTGCATCCCCATGCCAGGCAGGAACAGGTGCCGCCCCGCCCCCGACAGACCGGCCCTGTTCTCTCGGCTCATTCCCTCTTCCCATCGATTGCAAAAGCTGGCCGGCCCTGGCCATCCAGCACGCAGTCCGGTCGTGCACAGTCCGTGTTTGGAGAGAGACGCATGCTCAGCTCCCCGGCGACGCTTTATTTTCATTCTCTATGGGAGCGATTGGGGGTGCTTGGGGCTTTCTGACTGGTGGTTCGTGTTGCACTTCTGGTGCTTTTTCCGGCTCTGAGAGGCGGCTGGAGGATGGGGGGTTGGGGCTGTGGTATTGAGGATTAAAATGAACACTGGCAGCATGCAAGGCACGTGCTCCTGGGAGTTACCTGCCTTGTCCACCCGTTCCATTTTATTTATTTATTTTGGGGTCACTCACAGCGGTGCTCAGGGATCTTGTAGTTCTGGAGAGCAACCCGGGGGGCCAACGAGCAAAGCATGTGGACATGTGCCCAGCCTGTTTGCCCTTATTCGGTGCCTTGAGCGCTCTCTCTCTCTCTCTCTCTCTCTCTCTCTCTCTCTCTCTCTCTCTCTCTCTCCCATTAAAGAGACACACAGAAGAAGGAGCAATCACTGGCCCTGATCCTTGTGATCAAGGCTTGCTGATAACAGCCTTTCTGAACCTGCGCGTTCTCATAGGCCAAAAGTGCACATGGGTCAATGGTGTGCTGACGCCATTGATGAAAGTTCGTTGTGAAAATGGGAAGAATGCAATGAGCTAGAGGTGAATATTAAACTGGAAACGCGCCTTCATTGCCTCATAAAGTATAACATCAGATTTGTAGGTAAAGGGTTGCACATCACCCATTATCCATTATTCTGCTTCCCCTCCCTTTTGTGACTTACGTTACATTCCCCCACCCAATAGTTGGATGAAATCGTGACTTGTGTATTTTTTTACATAAACTTTATTTGTAAGTGAAAGTATAAAGCTATAATTTGCAAAACTTTTGATAATTTATCAAGGATGGAAATTATGCTGTTGGTTTGTTTTGCAGTGCTAGATATCAAGCCCAGGGCATCACATATGCAAGGCAAGTGATAGACCCCCGTCCTGGGAACTAGGGTTTTAGATTTATTCAGTTACTCCACTCATATGTGAGAAGCAAAGCACTGGACAGATGAAATGAAGGGGAAAATCAGGCCAATGTCCCCCGGCTGTAAAGCTGTGATTACAGAGGAAGAGGGAAGGGATTGAAGTGGGGAGTAGCCAATGGACCATGTAGAGAGATTGTACCTGTGGTAGTTGTGTGGCAACAAAATTTAAGACAGTGAAATTTTACCCTTAAAATATGTATAGACAAAACACCCAAGGATAATAGAGATAAGGGCCAGGAAGATTGCTCCACGACCTGGAAGCTGTCCCCACATGCTGGGGGAAAAGGCAGCTGGGATAGAGAAGGGGTCACTAAGTAAATGATGCTGGAGGGCTTGCTCAGGATGGGAGATGCCTGCGGAAAGTAGACCATGGACCAAACATGCTGGTCACTTACTATTGTATTGCAAACCATAACACCCTAAGGAGAGAAAAAGTAAAAGGGAATGTGCCTTCCACAGAGGCGGAGGGGGGGATGGGGATGGTGGTGGGAGGGATACTGGGAACGTTGGTAGTGGAGAATGGGCACTGGTGGAGGGATGGGTCCTTGATCATTGTATGATTGAAACGTAATCACGAAATTTGTAGATCTGTAATTGTATCTCATGGTGATTCATTAAAAAAAGAAAAAGAAAAGAAAAAAACATAAAAAGAAAAAATATGCACAGATATGTAGGCTAATATTGTCTCTACCTTTCCTTTGAAACATTTATTCCACCTTTGAAAATTTGATTGAAGTATAACTTACATACCACGAAGTTCACCCACTTTAAGTGTTCAAGTCATTCTTTCTGATTCTATACAGAGTTGTGGAGCCATTACCATAACCGTAACTTTATTATTTTTTTATATTGTGCTATCTTTTTTTAAAATTTTTATTAGTGAAACACCATGAGGTACAGCTGTAGACTTAAAAACTTTTGTGCTTGGGTTTCAGTTATACAATGACCCATCCCTCCACCAGCGCCCATTCTCCTCCATCACTGATCCCAGTATCCCTCCCACCCTCCGTTCCCCCCATCCCACCCTACCTCTGTGGCAGGGAATTCCCTTTTGTTATCTCTCTCCTATTGAGTGCTGTCATAACCGTAACTTTAGAACACTGTTTAAAAATCAACTTGAAAAGAGTCCTTGTACCGCTGGGCTGTCACTCCTCATTCTTTCTCTCCTCTTCCTTCCCACAGCCCTGACATTCACTAATCTATATCCATTGCATGTTCAGAACATTTCATTAAATATCATTGATCACAGTATGTGTTTTTGTGGTGTCTTGTCTTTTTCACTCAATATGTAAATTATTTTTTCAATGAACACTTATTGTGTTTCTATTAGTAATATAGCTCTGTAGGCTCAATAAATATCAATATGAATAAGAATACAGCCTTCTTTCAAACAGCTTAGGGTAGTCTTATTCTGGGTAGAAATAATGGTTCCCCAGAGAAACCTGAATGAGGTAGGTATTAAGGCCAGCAGGGAAGGGTCCATCTGGATCCTTTGACACCTCCCTTTTGACCAGCTCTCCTGGCACCTCTTCCTAACCACAGGAACCACAGAAGTCATGTGGATGAACTATTTGGAACTGCAAGAGACTGAAGATGCCGCAGAATTTGCCCACAACACGAACTTTTGCTTCACTATAATGGGATTGTAAGGAAATTACCACCCACCTCCCACCCCATCTGATGCTATGATAGTTCTGAAAATAGAAAATATGGTGTAAAAAGACGGTGACATCAATGTGAAGAAATTTTCACTCAGAGCCTGACTTTTCTTAGAAAAGCCCTTCTTTGCTCATGAATATCAATTTCCATGCTTAGGAAAAAACTCTTCGTACACTGGTGCTGAGAAATTACACCTGTGGAGGGATGGGTGTTGGAAAATTGTACGACTGAAACACAATCATGAACAACTTTGTAATGCTCTATCTCATGGTGATTCAATAAAAAAGAAAAAGAAAAACTGTTAATATAAAATAAGATCCAGTTAATATAAAACAAGATCCTGTCACTGTCACTGTCCTCTCATTGTTCATCGATTTGCTCGAGCAGGCCCAGTAACGTCTCCATTGTGACACTTGTTACTGTGTTTGGCATATTGAATACGTCACAGGAAGCTTGCCAGGCTTTGTCTTGCGGGAGAGATACTCCCCATAGCTTGCCGGGCTCTCGGAGAGGGGTGGAGCAATTGAACCTGGGTCGACCAGGTCAGCTGCATGCAAGGCAAATGCCCTAGCCAATATGCTATCGATCCAATGATACGTTAGAAAGAAAAAAAAAAACTCTTTGAAGTATTCAGACTTCATTCTTCTCTGATCAGGTCTATTTTGACTTCCCTCTGTCTCCCTTAGAGCATGTATTAAACCTTCAATAAAACTTTCTTTTGCTTTTCTGTATGTCTTCTTAAATTCTGCTCAGTGGTGAAAGCAATGACCTGGACCCTGGGTTTGAGACTGTACGGTCTCTCTGGCCCCAAATGTTAATTTTAAGGCATAACCAGGATGGCATGTAGAATGAATTAGTCAAATACCTTCATCTTCTAAAATGAATTGAAGATTAGAGTTTGTGAGACCAGAAAAGAGCAGAGACATGGGGGCATACTGGAACAGAAATAGTTTAGGATAAGCTAAAACAAAACAGACTATTGTGTATCTAATACAGAACAGGTGATGTAGGGGGAGAAGGTAGTTAAAGTAGGGAGAACACTAAAACAAAGGCTTTTAAAAGAAGGAGAAGAATGAGGGGAATTATTTACAAGTGAAGGGTGAAATGCTCTTCTATATTGTGTGACACAAGGGCTGATTAATGTTTAAAATATTATTTCTTCAAGCTATATCATTTATTGAATCAACATCTGTAGCACTGTAGCACTGTCCTCCTGTTGTTCATCTATTTGCTCAAGCAGGCACTAGTAATGTCTCCATTGTGAGACTTGTTACTGTTTTTAGCATATTGAATATGCCATGGGGAGCAAAATCTAGAACCTAAAAATATGTGAAAGACTGTTCTCTAATAAGGGATAACTGAAAACTAGATTGGGGAGAGAAACAGTCATATAAGAGGCTCTGGGCAGGGTGCTTGAAGTTTTGGGGCAAAGTATCACAATCAAATTAAAAACCCAAGGAGTGCCCCCTACCCCAATAAACAGATGCTTTAACAAGGTAATTTTCAAATGACATATCTTATAATAGTATTTAACAGTAGAACATTTATAAGAATATTAGATATTCAAAATCTTTACCAATCCTAACCCATCCCAGGTGTCTTCCCTGTATGGCCAAGGTGGGCTCAGCAGAGAGGCGGGTGCATTACTGAGACTACCTCTCCAGCTTCCCACTTTACTCAACTCACCTGCAGCCGTATGAAACTCAATTTAAAATAGTTATATATTGCGCCAAGAAGACAGTTTCAAATATGGCTTCGAAGGTTTTATTTTTGTTTTGTGATATTCCAAACTTGATATTTATTTTCCCATTGATCATATTGAGAAATTTCATAAAAGCCTAGAGTGGACCCACTTCTCTGAAATAATTTCTTTGTGAACCGTCTTATTTAAGAAGTATTTTAAAGCTTTTCATTGACATTTGATCGGTTATGGGTTATTTATCATTAATGAGATTGCTTTAACCACCTATGATCTCTTTAAAGCAGGGCTGGAGAGATAGTACAGCATACAGGGTACTTACATTGCATGTGACTGACCTGGGTCGATCCTCAGCACCACACACGGTCCCCTGAGTACTGCCGGTACCGATCCCGAGGAGCACAGAGTCAGGAGTAATCCCTTAGCACCACCAGGTGTCCCTCTGCTCCCATCAAAAATTACTGAGGATTATGTCATTGATGGATATTAAAATGACTTATGAAAGCATATTTATTTGCTTCTTTTTAAGTGGGCTCTAAATGAACATTACTGATGCTCCACCTGTCAATGAAACAAT